CTAGCCTAATCCTAGGACCGCAATCAATAATTGGGGTTCTGCTGCTGTAGGATTCCTGAATCATGTGTCTGGCAGCCAAACAGTCAAGCACTGTAATGTGCAGCCCGGATAGGTGGACAGCAGAGTGCTGCCTAGGACAGCAAGAAAACGGAATAGCTATCAACGCAAGTGGCACGCCTAGCCATGCCCCTAAGCCTCAGGATCGTCCTCGGTGTTTGCCGGTTGAAGCACTTTAGGTTAACACTTAGTCGGTGCTGGGGTTTTAGTTTGGCTGGGTTCTGCTCACCTGACACCTGACACCCGGCCCAATGCCTAGATTATCCTGCCAAGGAGTGCCATTAATAATTCCTGAACTCTACCAATCTATGAACATAGGTGGTAGTTCGGGTGTTTGTATCCTATCCGAAAGGGATCCTGCTGAATAAAGAACCTACTGGTACCCTGACAAATTAGTGTGCTCCTCTGATCCTCGTAGTTAAGCGGGCTCCTAGTATGTTCCGGGACGGATAAGTGCTACGGCAAGGCTGTGGGAAAACCGCCAGAGAACTGTTGGTTCGTAGTTATTAGTTGTATTTATACTATGTAATAAGATACCTAGCACGAATTCAGGAGGCGAGCCTAGTCACATGCAACAAATCGCCAGAAGGTCATTCAGCTAGGTGCTTGCCGTTTCAATCAGCTACTAATTGTATTGCTAGCCTATTCAGACTTCCCAGTTCGGCTAGCCTCGGCGAATTCTGAGAATAATCAGCCAGACTACATTGTAATGATTGACAGTTGAAGCATTAAAGACCACCTAGAACCTAACACTGTTGTTCTCGGATTTAAAGAAAGAGCCCTCTTCCAAGAATCAAGCAAAGTCTTGGCGATAAGGAAAACCCTGGTCTTGGTAGTGTAAATAAATGTTAGGATAGCCCCCCCGCTAGGCCTCGGCCTTGCCGGCAGCTTTCAGTAGTGCATTCCAGTGCCACCAAGCAACACTTAAATTGACCATGACTAAGCATTGCAATAATCATAAAACGATCCCTTAAATTGCTTAGATTAGACGAATTGAGCATTGGAACCCCTACCTAGATCCCGCAAGTATTCCTGAGGATAGGGCCATTGCATAAGCTAGTAAGGAAAGCCTACATTGGCCCACCCGCATTACCCAGTACGCCCCGGCTCCAATCCAAGTGTGCAGATGAGGCCCGTAGCCCGTAGGCCCGCCGCTGGCCTCAGTTCTGCTCTCACTGCAAACATAGAGTCTCTTCGTTGGCTAATGTAAGTGCCGGAGTACCAGCAATTATTGCACTTCGAGGACACGAACAGTTGAGAACTAAGTAAGTCCTTCCTCAACAAACAGATACAAGGGAGCAACCCAAGAACGACTACGTTCAGGTATCAAAATTCCAGTCAATCTCCTGTAGATACTAGCAAGATTATTGCTCGAGTTGTACCACGAATGCCCGACTACAGCCTTAGGATACTCCAAACCGAGAAGCCATCGCAAGATGCAGCGGTCCCCCTTCGATGAACACGGACACCGTATTCGGCAACCCAGCACACAGACAAACTGTAAGCATACCTGTGTGAAATTCTTTCTGGTTTCCGTTAATCATTGGCAAATTACATCACTCTTCCTCTTCTCTCATGTAGGCATCTTCCTCTTCTCTCATGTAGGTCCTGTTTCCCAACACCGTCCCCAGATCCTGGGCCCGGGAGTCCAATTCGTTCTCAGCCTGAGGCTCCAAAGGCACCCGTAAAGCTTTGGAATTCTCTCTCTGTCTCTCTGTCTCCCTCTCTCTTCTCCGATGCAGGAAGAGCAGCCTTCCCAGCGAAAAGATTGCCGAGAATCTGGAAGCCCAGCTCCGGCTCTACAAGAAGGCGACGGCCGTTACACTGATTACTCGAAACTTATCTCTATCCTTAGACTTAGAGCTTCTCCTTCAATTGAGTTTTGCCAAGGCGGCCGAGCAGGACCTGGAGAAGCAGATCATGACTGGGAAGGACAAGGCGAAGGAGCCCGAGGGCAAGGCCGAGTCTGGCCGCACCGAAAGCCTCCCGCCGCCGCGAAAGAAGATTAAGCCGACCACAGCGAAGGCAAAAGATGCAGGCCGCAGGTCGATCCCACCTGCATCCAAGATGATCGAGGATGTGAAGCAAGAGGAGGAGTCAGGAAAGGAGGAGGATGATGAAGAGTTGCAGGCCCGTGGCAAGCACGCAGCTCTCGAGTTGGAGGACGGCGACCCTGCTTCGGAGGATTTGAGGGATCTCGAGTCGGGGTCAGATGATGATAGTGAAGAAGGTGATGCTGATGTCTTCGACAAGGAGTTTGCACTGCCGGCAGCAGCCGCAAACAGGTTTGATGGCCTCCCGGAGAGGCTTCGCAAGCAGGCTGACGAAGTCTGCAAGGACGTCCTCGCGAGCATCCCTGCCGACATGTCGACGACTCTTGTCTTGGATTATCGAGCAAGGATACTCGTGTCCGTTCTAGTCGAGCACTAAGGGAGGGAGAGACAAATCAATTCAATCATACCGTCAGTTATCGTGGCCCATTACATGAAGTGCTGCAAACACAGTATACTGTTTATCAGGTACTAACGGAATTCAGATAAAGCATTATCACGTAGATGAATGATTAACTACGACACCGAAATTCCGATACTATCGCTTTCCCAAATTAGAAACTGAAATTACGGCTTATTCTGTGGCCTTCCTTTGGCTGAAAAGGGTTATTTGAGTTTATTTCATATTCACTACCGTTCAGCTAAACGAGACATGGTGTTATTCCACCAGCTAGACAACTGGACTAACTAAATTGCTGAAACTTCAAGCAATAGTTCCCTCCAGCAGTACTGCTAATTGAAGTTCATTGCTGTATCTAAGCTACTCTATGCATGTGTGTGTGTATATATATATATATATAAGGACCCATCTCGCTCTCTCCCTCCCTCTATCTCTCTATCTCTCTATCTCTCGCTCTCTCTCTGTCTCTGTGTCTCTCTCTCTCTCTCTCTCTCTCTCTCTCTCTCTCCTCTTTCTCCCTCTCTCTGTCTACATATTCATCTTTTTATGTATATGTATCTATCTCTCTCTTTCTCCCTCTCTCTCTCTCACGCTCTCTCTCTCTGTGTCTCTCCTTGATCTGATTCTGTTTGGTTGTGTCTTGCTGGGGCCCGGTTGCCAAGTGCATGTGGTGCTGCTGAGGGAAGACTACATGCACATGCTTCGCATCTTGCTCGCCGAAGAGATCACGACTATCGACACGATGCTGTGTGTTGTGGCCGAGACAGATGGTATCTTGACTAGCAACAGGCAAGATTCCAGAGCATGTCGGACGTTTGCTCTGTGATTGAGTGACATCATAGATTCTTTCAGGAAAGCTATCAGACAACTTGGGGGACTCTGCGAAGATCTTCAAAAAGATGTCGTTGAAGGGGAAAAGCTCCTTCAACAAGTGGGCGACCGGCTTCCCGGACTATGTACTGTCGCTAGAGGACAAGAAGAAGAAAGAGGCCCCATAACTCAACGTTTACGCACTCCACCCCAGCACAAATAAGCTTTGCCACATGTTCCGCACAGGTGCCACCGGCCACGCCGTCCAAAGCCAGCAGGGCAACCGCAGCCGCCACAGGAGCCGATGCTGCCTGAGATGACACGCAGGTCTTGATCCAGTGAATGTTTTGGAGGGCAGGCGGATGGCTGCTATTAGAGCCTGGTTTCGCTAGTTCACGGGTCAAGGCCTGCATGTGAGCTTTTGATGCACACGAAAGCCTGGTCTTGTCGACTGTCTGAAAACTACTGATCGTGCTCTGCTCTCTCTCGTTACAAGAGTGGCAAGTGGCAAGTGGCACGGCTGCATTGTGCACGCAGCATGGCTGAGCGACTTTGTGCACGCATCCGCAGATACTGTTCAATTGCTGAAACATAGCCACCGAAGTAAGCAAAGAAAATCACACTTTAACCTAGACCTGGCAAATCGAATAATGCAGTTTGCAAGACCCCGGCCACTAGATTAGAGCTTAAATTTATACAACACCTTGGCTGGCCACCACAGTAAAGAAACAGGTTTACCCAACCCAAAATCCCCGAACACTAGCATCCCGAAGTTTCCGAAACCATGGAGACTAGAGGCTGCTGGACTTTGCCTGAACCCTGACATGATTCTGTCTGCCTTTGTAGCACAGACACAGACATTTTCAATCACACACGACAGCTCTTATCATTGCCTGCTTCCTTTGTGCACTCGATGCACGGGCTTGTGAGCCATTGCTGATCTGTTCTTCTTCTGGGCCCTCGAGCTGGATTCTCGTCAGCATGCATAACACGTGGATCCGTACTCATTAGTACGTGAATTTCAGAGCAGGTCTCGAAGGTTTTCTTTGGATTCGGCCCCCGAGTGAATTGCTAGGTTTGTCTAAATGGCTTAAGGGGCTGCCGTCGGCTGGGATTCTATTTTCGGCTTATCTAAAGGGGTTACATGGGATAGGTGACGGGGCTGTTTGGTTGCGGCTTTTTTGGGGCTGGGGTAATGGTTTGGGGCTTGGGTAGCTAGGTGAAAGGCCTGCGGGTTCCTGAGTCAAGGGTTCTGGCCCCGATTTCTGGGCCTGCTTCCGTAGCTTTAAATTAAAGTAAAACCCGGGTCCCGAGCTTTTACTGGCAATATCGGGCCGTGTGCGTGCTCGCTCGATAGGAACGTGCTCTCTGACCGGATTCTGGCCCGGAGCGTGCTCGCTCGGGCGATCGTGCTCTCTGAAACCGTACGTGCTCTCAGCCCCCGAACCGTGCTACCGGAACCTGATTTCCCGGCCATGGTGCACCAACATGGACGCGGCCCAAGCCGGAGCCAGCACCCTAATCCTGTAGACGGCGACCACCAGCCACTAAACCAACAAGATTGGATCCGAAGAGCCTAACGCGACTTAGTGCCGAAAGTACCCAACGTGCTCGCTCGAGCGTGCTCGCTCAAAATTTTCCAGTGTCGACCCTCGCACACATGGACGCGGCCCCAGCCCAACCTCGCGACCCTTGACCGGCCTCCAGCCCATCTATCACCACCCCGAAGCCGAGCGAGCACTTTCGAGCGGGCACCTTCGAGCGAGCACCTTCGAGCGAGCACTTTCCAATGATCCCTGAACCTAGGTATGTCCGCGATTGCCTGGCTCCAGAATAGGGAGAAGGAGCTGGTGGCGAGCCTTGGCCCTCTTATCATCGGGGTGGTTCCTTGCTCTGTGCTGAGTCAATAGTGAATAAAGAGCCTATAGTGATCTGAGGGCTCCAGATGATGAAACTCGGCAAAGACTCCGCGAGAAGATTTGCCAGAAGATCGCTTTGATGGATGTTTGCTTCAAACAAAAGCGAGATCTTCCGTTTACAGCGGATCCTGTGACTTGGGAGGTTCGCTCTGCTGTGTGCATTATATATTAATAATAATTTCCTGAAACCCCTAAAACCCTACACTTCTAGCTTGTCATGATGACCCCAACCAGGCAGCCCTCGACGAGCACAGAAAAAATTTCGCAATGAAGCTGGGTGTCTTCATTCGGCCGAAGCTCCATTTGAAGACCGAGCCCTGCCAACCTGAAGTAGCCGATGAGGCAGCCGATCCCGCTGCCCCAGCACAGCAAAACCCCAACAACGACAGCCCAACTCCTTGGACTCCCACGACAGTCGTGTACATCAAGGTTGCTGGTGCTGTCAAAGGTGTTATGCAACTCCACAAAGCTGCCTGACCGACTCTATCTGGTTTAGACTTCTACCTGGCACCGCCCCTCACCCGACTGTTCAATCATTCTCAGGTTTCCGCAGCGGACAATGTCCTGGGCTACAGAATGCTATATCGCTGCGAAGAACTATGGGCCTTGGCCAAACGCAGTCAAAAGTACTACAACTGGTACACAAAATTGTGTCTTCGCTGCAGAAAGTACAAAACTGACTAATCTAGTCTTATCCCCTGCTGCTTCCCAAACCAGTCCTATACGCACTCATCCCCAGATCACAATTGAAGAAATATACTTATGTATAATAAATGATATTTACTTACATATGTATATATATATATATATATATATATATATATATATATATTCATCCTAAACAAGCATACGCCGTACGCCCAAATAAGCACTCAGCCTTGTGTCTACTGTTGAAATATTAATTAGTCGCCAGTCACCATTCCAAGTTTCAGCTCGAGGTTGGATGGGCAGAGCCGCGACATCTGTGCAGCCTGGAAAATCGATGTCCTGCAACACATCATCAGAAAAGGCAGCTACAAGGGTGCTGCTAAAAAAGCAACACCCAACAAGCTGAAGCTGCCCTTTGATGCCGTGGTGGCACCGGCAGCATTGTTCATAGCCGCTTGTCTTCATCCTACATTGCCGAGCAACAACTTATCATTGACCCTGAACCACTGAACGTTTTGTCCCATCCGAGGCGGCCTATGTCTTGCAGACCCGGGGCTGTGCCAGCTGTGTGCAACAGCAGACGCTGGAGCTGCTTGAGGTCCTGCTGCTGCCGATCGCGACGAAGAGCATGGAAGTCGTTCTGCTCCCTGATCTAGAAGAATGAGCCTTGGATGGTCACATAAGCACGCTTTCCAAGGGATCATGGCAGACCCCTGATTCCTGTTTCAGGCAAGCTTTCGGTTCGATCCGGAGAAATCCTCCTGTCGGACTGGGGGGCCTTTCTTGACAGCAGAGACCTCCGCCTGAGGCTTCCGTGCACGCTAGTAACAACTTGCTGGCACATAGGTTCTTGGGACCTGCTTTCAATTGATAATTGTTTAGCAGATCAGACTTCCTTATTGAACAGGTGGGCTGGCTCCCGTGCTCTCTCGCCGGAGCTCCAGGCCCTGGAAACAGGACTCGCTCTCACAGTCTCTGAGTCTCTGAATGGAATGAATTAGTGGGTTCTGTTCATTGCAGGAGTTCCTCTGCACGTGGCTATGTGGTTTCTTCTTCGTATTCCTCACGAAGACGAGGTTCAGGACAGTGACAGGGTGACAGTGACAATGCCAAGTACCTAATTAATAATTATGACTGAACAGATCTCAAAATGCAAGCCTTGAACCAAAACCTGCAGCCCTCGAACCTGGAGCCATCGGAAACCACGCAGCTTTGAGTCCGCAGTACTGAATCAGCTAATCATGAATGAATCAAGGCCTTCTTAGTTCTTCCCTGAATTAATAATAACCCTAAATCCCTGAACTCTAAAACCCCTAAACACCCAGGGGCGAACAACATATGGCCGGCTGCAGAGACGAATGGTTCACATGGTGGCCCAGCAGCTGGAGCTGAGCCTTCGGGAGGTTCCAGAGGGATCGCTACCAACCCCCATGGCCGATCACGTGATACATCCTGCCATGAAGTAGCCTGGCTTTGGTTTTTGTGCTTGACTGATTCAGGCTTTGAGGGATCCTGGTTTGTATTTTTTCCGCCTCTCCGCTTACAGGGATGGACGAACACTTCGAGCGGATGTGAAGCCCCGGGAGATGATGGCCGTCGACAGATTTATCTCCAAAGGGGGCGGCCTCATGGGCTGCGACAATACGCTAGAAGATTTCGGCCTTCACGACCTGGCCCCTCCCAATGCCTGCAGGCCTGCCACGCCCAGTATCTAGTATTCTAGGGTTAAAACACTGTAGATTATTTACAGAACTAACCTCTAATAGCAACAGAAAGAGTGCCAGGACCATCTCCGACTTCATCCACAGATACATCAGAGGAAGCGCCTGCCAGATCGAGAAGGACTGGTCGTCCACCCCTATCCAACGTTGAGTCCCCCCGGTTCTCAATGACCTAATAATAGTATTACAGCCCAAAACCACCCAACCAACCAAGTCTCCTCCTCGAAGACTCACCGCCCCCGTAGACCAACACACTCCCCGAATTCGCAGCACACCCACCCAATGAAGCAAGAACTGCCTTCCGCACTTATCATCTCTCCCCGGTAGAGAAACACGACTCCTCCCCTAGTACCCACGGCACCATTTCGGTTAAAAACAACCCAGCAGTAAGAACGCATCCCAGTAACAAGCTCCTTCCTAGCCGAAAAGCCATCCGCAATTCTCAATCACCCCTGTATACTGGAACAATAATAAATAAAGGGCTACCACAAATAATCCCCGCAGCACCGGTAGCAAGACTGTGCTTATCGCAATGCCTGTACCAGACCATCTCGCTGCCCAATGAATCAAAACGTAAACACGCCTCCCCTAGCCTCGCAGCCCCAAACAAATACAAGAAGAATCCTGCCCTGCTCGCACCGCCCCGTACGACTTAGATGGCTCCTGCGATTATCTACCCAATTCACCAGAAGAAACAGACACCAGTTCTCACTGCCACATTAACCAAGAAGCTTCCCCCAATTCTTGCCGCCCTGCTGACCAAGCACATATTTCCCAGCTCACTGTTCACTGAAGTATTGACCACATAGCTCCTCGCCCTGTTCTTGCCGCCGCATTTACAGTATAATCACGGACGGCTAGAGACAAAAGCCCACTCAGCTAGAAGTTTGCTTCATCCCA